TAACTTATATTTGGTAGTTAAGTTAAAGAATTTTTTGATATAATTTTTTAAATTTACTAATTATTTAAATATTTAAGGGTTTTTCCATTCACTACTTTTAGTGTTGGGAGCAATGGCGGTAAGTTTTCTTTATTAGGGTTTTTCTCTCGTACAGGAGTTTCTTTATTGCTCCTTTTTTTCTTACCTCTCCCTCCTCTTGTCATTGTCTTGCTTTTTGGGTTTTTTAGAGTTTATATCTGTTAATTTTTTAAGATTGCAATTATAATTGATATTGCCGATGAAGTTGATTTCTCCTCTTTAACTGGCAAGAATCTCCTTTTGGTGTATCTCCTCAGATGGGATCTTAAGAGGGTCAAATTCGATGAATCTAGGTCACACTAGTTCTCGATCAACTAGCCAATTATCCAAGGAAAAAGATGCTGTTGGTAAGACTGGCTATGGTCTACATGGGAAGCTTGATTTTCAAGCCAACAAAAGGGCTCTAGTTCCCTTGATGAGTATCGACAGCATGGGTTTGAAGAGGATCAACAAAGATAGGAACATGATTGGGAGTATATGGAAGCGATTGGGGGGTCTTGTACTTGTCAGTAAAAGGCACATAGCCCTCGTGGTTGTTCTTCCTTAAGAACAAGTAGTGCGGCAACTTATGGATTGGGGACTGTTTGTTGCCGGAATTCCTTACTCTCCTCAAGAAACTAATTAAATAAGTGAGGATGTCCAATAATTCTTAATACTCATAGTAATTCCCCTTTCTACATTAGTTGCCTTATTTAACCCACGTAGATAACTATCTTTGCTTAATTGTCAATATCCATTATGAGCATAATTTAAGTTTGTTACTAGTGCTTAGGTTATTTTGATTCTGGTTCTATACCATGAGATGGAGTATCTATTGTAATTTCTTATTACTTAATATATTTCTCTATTTTTCAAAAAAAATATTTAAAAATTTATATTTGATACTTAATTCAATAAATATCAAATAATTTATAAATGTATATTTATATATTTTGCATAAAAAAAGAAACCTTATACAATTTATTATTGTTATTGTGTGTTGTGTGTATACGAATTGTTATTATTGTATATAAAAAATTTTTTTGTTACACAATAAGAAACAATTATCTCTCATTCCTTATCCCACTTCACTTGCATATCATACGACTTGAACTTAGAATCTCTTACTTTCAGAGATGACTATTAAATTATTTAGATTATTAATTATTAAATTTTAATTAATTTAAAATTATATTAAATAATTACAAATTAATTTTTATTATGATTAAATATTACTAACAATAATAACACACATAATTTTATCTCGTAATTACGTATCTTCCAATGAATCCATTCATCCCAGTGAA